CAGAAGCACCGACAGCTCTGGGGCAGACGAAGGAAGTGAGAATGGGAAGGTGTTAGCATAGCTCCTAACAAGGCTCCTATTTTCATTCCCTCCACTATGCTCCACAGTTTCCTCTCCCTTGTTCCTATTATCACTTCTTGCATTAGTGAAGAGGTCCCAATCGGCTCCCAAAGCCCCCTGGGAACCAAGTGAATTTCTGTTTGTGTGTCTGCACATGTGCAGTGGAGGTACTGATGTAGAAGCTGGTCTCTACAACCTTGAGGTGTCCTGCTGAGCTGCAAAATGAGGCTCAAGAGCGGGGGTGGGGGGTGTAGTTGTATAGTTTTTCCATGTATAGTTTATGTCACATGTCATCTCAAGGCACTTTACAGTTCAACCACATCATACAGTCAAATTGATTCAAAGTTTTATATCTAAGGAAAACCAGTTGATTGCATCGACTCATTGACTTGAATGCAATCCCTCACACTAGGCATACTTGTAGTGACAGTGGAGAGGAAAAACTCCCTTTTAACAGGAAGAAACCTCCAGCAGAACCAGGCTCAGTGTGAGCGGTCATCTGCCGAGGCTGACTGGGTTTAAAGGAGACAGAAGCAGAGACACAAAAAGCAGCTGCAAAAGGCGGCCTCGTTCAGGAAACACACAGCCAGGCAGACAAGCTCCGAGCCAGCTCCCATACCAGAGGACGAAGAGAGCACATCCACTCAGTCACGGCCAGAGAAACAGGATGACACTGGAAAACAGGCTGATCTCCTGCATCTATAAACAAGGGTGTTGATGGAAGCAGCACAGCTGATGTTTCTCTCCAGGATGGCGTCACAGCCAAACAGGAACAGACGAGGCAAAGCTACTCTGAGGAAAAGCAGAGAGAGAATAACGTTAGAGATTGAACTAACTGATTCTGCAGAATAGGAGAATAGAGAGAGAATGAAGCAGAATGATGAAATGGGTGTCCCTATGTCCTCCAAAAACTAAACCTATAGCAGCATAACTATAGAGATAGCTCATACAAAGCAGTGGTTCATCAGTGAGGGTCTACTGGTGGTACTTGGGCTGCCTGGACTGGCTCGCATTAGAAATTATGCTGTTAAATATTTCCTAGGTAAGTGTGATGGAATTAGCTGAGGATGAGGAGCAAATGCTGGGGGTGTTGCACTTTGAAAAGCTTTTTTTATTTCCCTTATTGAGGTTAGTTTTTTTTATTATTATTATTCTGTGGTCAGTATGGAAGCAGGTTTTTTCCAGGGCAGCGGCTTTGTCCGGTTTAAGATCCTTGGTTCCTTAAATTAGGAAAAAAGCAAGTTCTAATTTCAAGACTGCTTTTAATTTTCCCCAGGTAATAATTTTCAGACTTTAAAACTAAAATGTTCCTAAAAGTGTTTGGAAAAAAAGAAAAAACAGAAAAAAAAACAGTTAAAGATTTTATGAAAATGTTTATTACTTTGCTCAGTTGTAAGGAATCAAATTAACTGGGAACTAGGAAGAGGTACGAAGGTCCACTCAGATGTTTTATTTTACTCAAACACCTGGATCTGGGACCAGGCTAACAAGTATTAGCAATTCAAATGAATAACAATGTTTTTCATTCCACAAGTGAGAATAGAGAAGATAACCAAAAATAGAGAAATGTGATAAGCAGACTGCTGTTCTTCACCGGCTGGAGAATCCGGAGAGGAGACAACTTCATTTAACCTTTTAACACCGTCCTTTCAGGCAACATCAAAACACAGAAACTGAATCTGTGAGTTTCTGAGGATACAGAATTATCCCCACTGGCTCACCAGTGATTTCTTCAAATCATCTTCCATGTGGTTTTATTAGGATTGATGGCCCCCAAAGGCCCACTTTAGTGCCACTGGGGTGTCATAAGAGTTAAAAAACCAGTTACATGCACAAACTTACAATGAACACAAAGCTGTATAGGTAGTTGGAAGGGCCCCTGTGATGATAAAAGCAGATGTTCTTGCTGGCTCTCTGCTGTGTTGATCCAAAGACCCCCCCCCCGCTGGGCCCTTTGCCGTTTCTACTGCCCTGGACCTGACTGGGGGTCTCAGTCCTCCATCCATTCTGTTGCTCTTTCTGCTTAGGAGCATTCTTGAAAACAACATTTGTTTGTTGTAATTCATAGAGGCTTTAAATAGGAGGTGGTGAGTTAGTGATTGAGATTGGAGGGGGATTTGATGATATATCTGGACTATATGAAAGGTTTTGAGTCTTCAGTTAAAGACATGCCATAAATGATTAAGCTGTTAATGTGTTGCCATGGTAAATAAGTCTGCCAATGTTCAAGGTGCCCTAAAGAGGAATGTGTTAGAAATATCTCAACACAGTGGGCTCCCTCTGAGGGACTGGATTGCAGTTGTATGCTGTTCCCAGTCTGGTGCTAGATCTCTCTGTGTGCTTTCCTAGGTTCTGGTAGCCTGAAGGAAGATGGATGGAGAGGCTGCCACAGTATAAAGGAACTGGAAAGTGACAGGGATCGGGTCAGCTAGTCCAGATTTCTTTAGCATGCATGGGATGATTGATCAGGACCTTTGTAAAGGGTAAATTGAAGCAGCTGTTCTACATCTGAAATTAAACTTTGAACTTAGAAATCTAGCATTTTTACCTTGGTTTTGGTGGGATGCTCAAAGGGAAGTTTTTCATATGTGGAATGTCCTTGCTAAGGCAATAAATTGAGTTAATTCAGAAGCCACTATTAAACATAAATTCATGACTAATATAGTGAAAGGTTTCAACCTATTGGATCATTGTTTACTCATAATGAAAACTTCCAGATTTTATTAAATTAGAAAAGTAAAACACTTTGAAAACTGATCTTAAAATAAGTAAAATGATTCTTAAATGAACTGTATTTTCCCTTAATTTAAGCAAGTAAATATTAACATCTACAAATGGAATTAGTATTTTCCCCCTTAAAATAAGATACTTGCATAATATGTTCTTAGAATAAGTTGTTTTTTGTTATTTTAAACATAAATTATCTAATTCCTTTAGTGAATTGTCTAACCTGCTCAATATAATGGAAAATGCACTTGATTACTTCTTTTTAAAGCAAATAAAATATTTTACTACAGAGACGTGGGCCATATACTGTACAGTACGGTACTTAATCCTTGTTCAGGGCTCCTTTTGCCACACAATCCTCCAGAAGTTGTGAGCTATACCTGGTATTCAAGCACCTCTTCTACCACACATTTTCCTTCCACTTAACTTTCCACACTAAATACAGCACTCTGTAATAAACAGATTTGTTCAGTGATTGGCTTTTCTAGCTTTTGGACTGAATGAATGAGAGCAAAATCAACAGTTATACCCATAATGTATAAACCATAACATGACTTATCTGTACAAAAAAAACAACATTTTTTTATTTGTTCTTATGTTTATTTTCAACAAAGTTGAATTTGGCTTGTTTTTTTAATACCGTAGATGCAAGTTATAAAGCAAAACATTTGCAACATAAATCTACAATGAAACATTTATTTTTATTTAATTTCCTGACACCCACCAATAAACGTTTTATTTGATCAGTCATCCTCCTATTGCAGCAGAAGCAAACCTGTTGCTCCACTGAAACAGAATCATTAGGCTGAGGCATGCATAAAAAAACAACAACATTCAACTTTCATTACTCGTTCAGTGGAAAATCCCACTAGATTGCAGTTAATGTGCTGCCACTGTCACTATCTTAGCTCCCCCACCTCCCCTCACCTGCACAAACTAAAAGCCGCCGCACAAAGTAACAGGCTCAGACTTGTTCTGTTAAAATAGCTGAAAGTCATTCTGAAAAAAGAAAAAAAAAAGAACAGCGTTATGTGAATAAATGACCTGTAAAACGTCCCATTAGCAAAGACACATTTCCTTTCAGCAGGTATGATGATCATTGCTGAGGGGGAAACCCAGCATCTAAGCTTTTCCCCATGATGATGAAGATCAGCAGCTGAACTAAATTATCTTGCAAACGTAATCGTTAGTAGCTAAAAGTACCACGTTTGCATATTCCACCTAGAATCAAAATGACGCTTCTATAGAACGCCACTTTATAATTGGTGTGTTGTGTTGCTTTCTGCCTGTACACACCAGGACAATAACACCCATTGTTCTGTTCTTATTGAGCAAGAAAACTTAACATCTTCCTCCTCATTGTGCATCACTTTGAAAGCTCCAGCTCAGCTTTGCTTCCTTTATTGCCCGTGTGTTTGTGCGTGTGTGTTTTCAAATAAGCCAAAGCATGTGTGACAGGCGGGCAGGGCAGTCTGCGGCCGCGGGGGCACATGTTACTTGTTTAGTTTGGTTTTCATCAGCTCCCCTCTGTGTTCTGTTGTTTATTCTCCCCCACTTCTTTTTCTCTGCTTTCTCTCTTATCTTTTTGTCTCCCCTTTGTCTCTGTGTTCCTTTGCTGAACTCCAAAGTAGTTGGTGCGTGTTTAAACAGCATCTCTTTTAATTCCATTGACTTTGGTTTGTCTTCTGAGGCTGGTTCAGTAATGCTGAAGGCCCATAGAGCTCTGACGCTGGTGGGAAATTCCCTTTTTCTTTGCACGGCCCCAAATCGAACAGTTTCCTGCTGATCACCCCGATCAGCACCAATAGTGAACACGGCAGCTCCTCTCCAATCAGAGCTTTTCAGGCTCTGGTTTTCTGCTTTTGTACATGTGGGTAGAACGAGTGCCAAGCAGAGCTGAGGATTTGCTTAATGTCATCGGCTTGATTCACCCAGCTTCAGGAGACTGGATCGTGTTTGCATTCCCCTTTTCCTGCTAAAGTTTCTAGCAGAGTTGCTTAGCTGCTAACACACTGTTAACTGCCAAAAGCGTTTTCAGTATTGTCCTGTTTTAGTTTATCCACTAAACAATAAAATGTGTTCCACTTTAACAGTTTGGCTGTCATTAACTCCATTTCTTTTCCCTTTTCTTTTGAGGCTAAGGTTTCCATTATAGTTATCAGAATGAAATTTATTTTGCATTTGCTGAATAATCTGCTTTTTTTTCTTTTCAGGGTCAGACTGTCTCTCTCCAGCCTTTGCCCAGGATACAGGAAGTTCTGTACCAGTATAAACCCCTCCAGGTTGAAACTTATGGACCCCCAGCACCAGACCTGGAGCAGCTCAGCAGATTTGGGTATGAACTTGTTTTTTTCGGTTTCGCTCCACCCACAGCGACTTGATTAGTTAGGTGTTCAGCAGTTGGCGCAGTTTGTCTGTTGATTGGTAGAGGATTTGGCCCATAAAGTTTATGTTTATTCAGGGTGTCCGCGTGTCATTAAAAATCATTCAATTATTATTTTTTAAATTAAGGCCTTAATTGGCATTAACATTTACTAAATTTGATACTTGTGGAATTAAAATGCTTCAGAAAATAAGCTTGAGGCGGAGAAAAGGCTAGATAATGGGGAAAATGCAAATTTGAACCAAAGTGGCGGGAAAACGAGGAACTCGGGACATGGCTGCAGCCTGTCCATATTGAAGATGACGTGTATATAGGATATCTATGATATATATATGTATGTGTGTGTGTGTGTGTGTGTGTATGTATGTAATCATTTTCTATTCTATTGATCTGTTTTCCATTTTCCTCCTTTAGCTTTATACTCTAGCTTTTTTCTAGATAAAAAGGCAGTTTAGCAGAGCTGTTCTTTCTTATTCAGAGAGAAACGTCTAAACATGTTTCATAAATTGGAGGAATTGATCAACATTTGTTTGGAGATGTTTCATGGCTAAAATAATGTTATGCATATTTTTAACAGTGAAAGTACAATCATAATTTCTCTATGCAAAGTAGCTATTTTATTGTCAAAGAAAGGTATGCAAAAACACATAGCTGGGCTTCTTTCAGATTACCTGCCAATGGAATTCAAATAAATGTAAGAAACGAGCCATTAACTTTTAAACTTACACTAAGTTGTTCATTTGCTTTCATGAGATGGCTCACTTTAAGGTCTTTCAGTACAATTCAGAGGTAAAAATAGGAATCTAAAGGTCTAAAGATATGTATGCTAATAAACAATATGTTTAGGGTAGGAATTTAGTGACATGAATATAAGGGCCGATGTAGATAATTCATATTTAAACTGCCTTTATGGGCGGTAACTGATATGTGCTGATATTATTTTTTATATATGTTCCTACCCTTGTTGCATTGTTAACCCTTTATAGGGCAAGTTAGCGTTTTTGTTCACTTGCATCCCCCTTACAAATGGAATCCCCCCATCCCTCAGTGAGGTCTAGAAGCACAAGATCTATATCCAGCCATTCTGCAAAGATACTGCTACATGGCTGTACATCTTATTTTGGCATTTGACCAATTAGATGAGCCCTTGAATGATGTATTACCTACTGTAAATTAAGTTGGAAAAAAAGTTAACAAATCAAGAAAAAAAGGTGAAAATCTAATTAAAAAGTTAAAAAGTAAAGTTAAAAAGTTGACAAGCCAAGTTAACAATTATATTTAGGTTTATAATCTAAAAAATGTAAGTGCCAGTATCAGTATTAATGCCTTTAACATTATGTTGGACCAAAAAAAAATGTGTTTCTTTCACTCTAAGTGTTTTTAATTAATTTCTTATAGAAGCACTTTTGTTATTTTTCCCAATATATTCGGGCAAGTTGGCGTTTCTTGTTAATCCATTGACATCCGTTTTTGCCATCAACATATCCATATTTTTCAATGTTAAAAAGGTAATAAGGTCCTGAATCCCAAAACACTATTGGCTTGAAAGGTTGATTTTCAAAGTATTTCCCTGAGTGCCCAATAAATGGTTGAAAAACAACCGCAGAGCTGACATTGCTTCAGTGCTTCAGTTAAACGCCAACAATCCTGCTCTGCATGGTCATTGCTGTTACATAAACAAAGAACAGAGTGGCTGTGTTTGAACGTCCACCCTTACACCATTTTATGAGTGTCCGAATGTCAAGTGGATGAAAAAGTAGTGAACTCAAAATGTCCCACAAAATACCTTAAAAGAAGAGTATATTGATCGTCACTGCACGAGCCGTTGTATCCCAGAATGCTTTGCAAGAGCTCTCCTTGCAGAGCATCTGTTCCCAACAACCTGAATACGTTGTTACATTGATGCTGATTTTTGTGCAGTTTCTGACTTGGTCAGTTAAATAACATCCTGCTGTTATTTTTTGCACATCTCTGTTGTTGCTGCTATATTTAACATATCCATTACTGTAAAAATGTCCGAAGCTGTTATTTATTTTTTTATTCTTCAGATACAGTGTTTATATCGTAAAAACACTGTAAAGTACAATACTGTATTTGTTTTTTTTCCCCTATCTTTTATTTTCATACACATCTCCAAGCTGCACATTGTCTGACCACTTCTACTTTAACCTTTTGCTGCCCGTTAAGCCCACAATGTCCCCATTTTGGGACAGTAAAGGGATTTTCTATTATATTTTACCATGGGATTTGTATTTGGGGTGAGAAAGAACAAAGATTGCGCAGGCATGGTGCTGGGTGCTAGAGTCATGTGACCAATGGGCAGTGAAAAGTAGTGATCATCTGTCAGAATGGTCAGTTAACTGATTTCACTATAAAGTCTCTCGTTTGTGGCTTTTTGGCCAAACCTTGAATACGTCACTACAGAAGAGTTCTCTAGACCCACAATCATCAATTAACTTTTAACCTGTTTAACCTCAGTGGCTTTTAAAACTGATTTCCCTGTTAAAATATACTACAAAATGAGTATGCAGGTCATTAGTATACAGTTATCAGGTCTTAAGGCAAACTTTGGTAGCTGTATAAAGGTAACACATACAACATTATTTTTTTCAGTTTAAGCAACACTGCAGAGGGTACTATGCCTGATTGTAATCGACTAGAAGGATGTTTTAACTGGTCCCACAGCTTTCAAGCTAGTTTTGAGCAAGGGATGAAAGCTTCCTTAAATTTATATTTAGTTAAGCCTTCTTTTTCTTCAGTTTCAGCATTTAGTCTTCCTGGATTAATTATGCTGAATTAAGATAACCTTAAATAAAGCTCAGTACTAACCCACTGCCATATGAGGCTGATGTCTGCCTGGTAGTTTAAAAACTTGCCACAGTGCCTTTGCTGTTCTTAGGACTCTACTCTTCTGGCATGAAATCTCCTACGTTCCTCCAGCCATGGAGGTTACTCATGTTCCAATGACCATGGGAACTGCTGCTGCCTCCACCTGCCAGGGTCTCTATAGCCCTTGTTTTTTATCTATGTTCCCTCTTTCAGATGTTTCCATCATTTAGCAAAATCTACATCAGTCAAAACATCCAAAAGCCGCTGCTTAACAAAGTACACTTGGCTGACTGGTCGTATTGTGGTGGACTGGTCGTATGTGCAACAACGATCTTGTTTACGCTCCACGTATCACACTAAAAAGTCTGGTTAAAAGACATTAATCCTTTTTTTCTCAAAGAAAACTCCCAGGATAAGTTAATGTCTCCTAAAACCTTCTGGAAAATGTGCCTTAGTATAATGAAACTTAACTTTACTAAATTATTTGGACCGAAAACATCAACATATATTAACAAGGGAGCACCACAGCCATAATGAAACCCAGTGGTGATTACATTGTGGGGTTTTCTTTTAACGGACAGGTTTTTTTGTGACCCAAGATAAGAGTATCTTTAGTCTCTTAAGATGAAGAGGGTTCTAGTATTTCAGAATGGCTTCAGCAGAAATAAACCTATGGACCCAACTAGAAAGGTTGTAGACATGAGAAGTTCTCACAATGTGGGAGATCTGGAGAATCTCTGAAAAGGGAAGTGGGGCCAATATTTCCGGACAAAATGTGACGCACTAAAGGCTGATTTATACTTCGAAACCGGGTCGTCTGTGTAGGTGTCGCATTGAACAAAAAGACGTCCCCGCCCCTTCCGCAGACACTCTGATGCACCTCTCCCGGATTGCAGGTGACTGCAGACAGTGCCGCAGATAGGAGGCTGGCTTGTTTTGTTTTTATGACCGCAATTGCGGAAAACGACTCGTGAAGTTTGGCCAGCTAGAAGATCGAGGTCTTTTTCCACCTGTATCCCCGCTCTTTTACGGCATCATGTCCCTCCATTGTCGGACAAACTGGCCTGAGCTTGTCTGCGTCAAGCTCACTGCGACACACTGCTGCGGGGAGTATAACCAGCCCTTAAGCCTCCTATCAAAGAAGACTGAATACTGTATACGACTCACAACCTGCTTTGATAAAGTATTAGTTTAAGCAAAAATGTTACATTGGCTCATTTTAACATGTTTATTCTAATACTTTAGCAAATAAAGAAAACATAAGGTGAACGATTATTCCTGACTCCTGAATTCATGAGGTTTTCTATTATGTAGTTGGAGATCACCTGGGATCTGTGCAACTCATCAGGCCTGGCTCATTTCTCATGACTCTCCACTGATTAAGTGAGAGAGGAAAGGAAACATGTAGGGGTGGAGGTACGGGCGACAGAGAGGGAATAAGAACCCTCCCCCCCCCCGCCACACGCCACCACTGTGCATCCAAAGCAGCGTCCATTAACACACACAGGAAACGGTTTCCCGACAGCCCCTTTGGGCCAATCAATCCAGGACGCCATTGGCCAAGTCCTCTCTGAGTGTTTGCTCTCCATCAGACAATCCAGCGCCCGGTCGTCTGCAGTTCAACTGCATGGCACTACGGTTTGCTCAACCACCTGGAGGGAGTAGATTTTATGGGGGGAAAATGGGGTCTCGTTCTTTCAGGGCACGCTCACTGCTTCAAGATTCAATTCAGATTTGCATCTTTGAACATGTGTGCTTTGGTTATTCACATAAGGTTTTTATCTGTTTATGCCATCAAGTTCATCAAGAAAAGAACCAACTTCAGATGAAACATTTCAGGAGCATATAAGTTGAAATGCTGGGTCTTATTTACATGATGTATGCAAGGAAGTGCTGAGGTACCACTTCTTTTAGCTAATCAATATGCAGATGAAACACATCTTGCAATTTTGCTGCATGCCAAGGCCTAAAGAAGGGAGGAAGAGAAGGGGGGGTTGTCAGCAGTTCAAGGGTCCAGAAGGACCCCTCCTGGAGTGGAAGAAGCACAGGCTACAGAGATAAATGAGGCTCTGTTCAGTGAGGAACACCAATCCCTTTGGTGCAGGAATCCGGCTGGGACACAC